AAGTTCGTCGAGACAAACTTTGAGGCTGGCTTGACAAAGCCTGTTGGTAATAGTTTATTTAGTTTAAAAACAGTTTGAAAAAGTATAAGTAGCATGTTATTAGCATGATTCTAGCATGAATTAGCATGATTCTAGCATGGATTAGCATGTTATTAGCATGAGTGTAGTAAAAATTAGCATGTTATTAGCATGATTCTAGTATGAATTAGCATGTTATTAGCATGATTCTAGCATGAATAGGCATGTTACCAGCATGATTCTAGAATAAATTAGCATGTCACTAGCATGATTCTAGTATGAATTAGCATGCTACTAGCATGATTCTAGCATGAATTAGCATGTTACTAGTATGATTCTAGCATGAATTAGCATGTTACTGGCATGATTCTAGCATGCATTAGCATGTTACTAGCATGATTCTAGTATGAATTAGCCTGTTACTAGCATGATTCTAGTTTGAAATAGCATGATTCTAGTGTGAATTAGCATGTTATTAGCATGATTCTAGCATGAATTAACATGTTATTAGCATGGTTATAGTATGAATTAACATGTTACTAGCATGATTCTAGCGTGAATTAGCATGTTATTAGCATGATTCTAGCATGCATTAGCATGTTACTAGCATGATTCTAGTATGAATTAGCATGTTACTAGCATGATTCTAGTATAAATTAGCATGTTACTATCATGATTCTAGCATGAATTAGCATGTTACTAGCATGATTCTAGCAAGAATTAGCATGTTATTAGCAGGATTCTATTATAAATTAGCATGTTATGAGCATGATTGTAGTATGAATTAGCATGTTACTAGCATGATTCTAGTATGAATTAGCATGTCACATAGCATTCTTAGGTGGTTGCTAGGGTATTCTGAGTGGTTACTAAGTCGTTGCTAGGCAGTTGTTAGGGTGTCCTGAGTGGTTGCTAGGTGGTTGCTAGGGTGTTGCTAGGTGGTTGCTATGGTGTTCTGAGTGGTTGCTAGGAGGTTGCTAAGGTCTTGCTAGGCGGTTGCTAGGGTGTTCTGTGTGGTTGCTAATATGTTGCTAGGTGGTTGCTAGGGTGTTCTGAGTGGTTGCTAAGGTGTTGCTAGGCGGTTGCTAGGGTGTTCTAAGTGGTTGCTAGGTTGTTGCTAAGGTGTTGCTAGGTGGTTGCTAGGGTGTTCTGAGTGGTTGCTAGGTGGTTGCTAAGGTGTTTCTAGGTGGTTGCTAAGGAGTCCTAAGTGGTTGCTAGGCGGTTGCTAAGGTGTTGCTAGGTGGTTGCTAGGGTATTCTGAGTGGTTGCTAAGGCGTTGCTAGGCGGTTGCTAGGGTGTCCTGAGTGGTTGCTAGGTGGTTGCTAAGGTGTTGCTAGGTGGTTTCTAGGGTGTCCTGAGTGGTTGCTTGGTGGTTGCTAAGGCATTGCTAGGCGGTTGCTAGGGTGTTCTGACTGGTTGCTAGGTGGTTGCTAAGGTGTTGCTAGGCGGTTGCTAAGGTGTCCCAAGTGGTTGCTAGGTGGTTGCTAAGGTGTTGCTATGTGGTTGCTAGGGTATTCTGAGTGGTTGCTAAGGCGTTGCTAGGTGGTTGCTAGGGTGTCCCGAGTGGTCGCTAGGCCCTTACTAAGGCATTACTAGGACGTTGCTAGGTGGTTGCTAGGCGGTTGCTAGGGTAATTTGGGTGGTTGCTAGGCAGTTGCTAGGGTACCCTGGGTGGTTACTAGGCAAGCCTCACATACATGCTTGATAAAACATTTATACTTAGTAAGCATGTCTAGCAAGTTACAGTACTTGGCTAGTCAATATTAGCATGTAGCTAATCACTGCTAGCATGTGTAGCATATAGGAAGTTCCGTTTGCTAGCATGAGTCGAACGAGCCAATTTCCAAGTCTCTACGATGTTCTGATGCTGAGATATAGCTGTTGATGAATGGTTGCTAGGGTACTCTGTTTTGTTGCTATGGGCGAGGTTACAGAGTGCACTTGAATGTGGTTGGCTGTCTAAGTCAAATGAACCAACCCCCATGTCTCTATGACACTGCTATGCAAAGATATGCATCTTGGCCTATTTTAATGGAAGTCTATGGAATCAATTTGGGGGCGTGGCTTGTGAGCTTCATTATCATATTGAGATGCTCATTGGTTGTCTGAGTCAGATGAGCCATCCCCCAAGTCAATAGGACACTGCTAAGCAAAGATATGCATGTAGGCCAGTTATTAACATGAGTCTAGTATGAATTAGCATGTTACAAGCATGATTCTTGTACAAATTAGCATGTCATTAGCATGTTTCCAGTATGAGCTAGCATGTCATTAGCATGATTAGCATATGAGTAGCATGTTGCTAGCATGATTGGCATGTCATTAGTATGTTAGAATTATAAGCATTTGAAAGCACAGCTAATTACAGTCTATAGGACAGTTGCTAGGGTGCAGTATGTGGTAGTTAGGGGTGTGGCTAGAAAGTTAAAAGGCCATCACTGATTGGCTGCTGGCTAGACTGAGTTAAATGAGCTTAGCTATTAGTCTCTATGACAGTCTGATGCAGAGTTATGAGCTCACAAAGTTAGATCCCATGTTAAGTCAATGAGAGTCTTTTGTAATGGAAGTCTACGGGACAGTTGCTAGGGTGCAGTATGTGGTAGTTAGGGGTGTGGCTAGAAAGTTAAAAGCTCATCAGTTATTGGCAGTTTGGTAGTCTGAGTTAAATGAGCTCAGCCATTAGTCTGTATGACAGTCTGATGCAGAGTTATGAGCTCACAAAGTTTGATCCCATGTTAAGTCAATGAGAGTCTTTTGTAATGGAAGTCTACGGGACAGTTGCTAGGGTGCAGTATGTGGTAGTTCGGGGTGTGGCTAGAAAGTTAAAAGCTCATCAGTTATTGGCAGTTTGGTAGTCGTAGTTAAATGAGATCAGCCATTAGTCTGTAGGACAGTCTGATTCAGAGTTATGAGCTCACAAAGTTTGATCCCATGTTAAGTCAATGAGAGTCTTTTGAATGGAAGTCTATGGGACAGTTTCTAGGGTCCAAAAGTGGTTGCTAGGGCGTGGCTAGAAAGTTTAAAGGTGATCAGTCATTGGCAGTTTGATAGTCTGAGTTAAATGAGCCCAGTTAGAGTTCTGTGCGACAGTCTGACGCAGAGTTACGAGGTCACAAAGTTTGGTCCAATGTTAAGTCTATGGGATTTTTCCGACAGTCCCGGGACGTTTTTCGGAAAACCGAAAGTCAAATCAGTCTTAGGAGATATAGCATACCGAGTCAGAATAGTTTGGAGGTCTGGTGTGAGTTTGGTGGTAATAGTTCGAAAGTTCAAGGAGGAGATAGATTTTGATTTTTAGAGTCAGAAGAAGAATAATAATAATAAGTTTAGAAAGGATAACAGTAGTCTGGCTTTGACAAGCCAGCCTAATAATAATAATAATAAGTTTAATAGGATAACAGTAGTCTGGCTTGCTACACAAGCCAGCCTAATAAGTTTAAGTGAGATAACAGTATGTTGGCTTTTCAAGCCACCATAATTAAGGAATAATGTCAAATCCTGTCAGTAGCCCTAATGGCCCATTTCTACTGAGGGGTACGCTTTTATGGCTGTTTCCACTGCCAAAGGGTACCAAAAAGCGAACCGTACCATACCCCTTTTTAGGTACCCTTTCGGAAGGGTACATAGCACAACAAATGTGTACCAAAAAGCAAAGCAAGACATGCAGCTAAACGCTATTGGTTTACAGAGATACGTCACTAGCTCATGCGCAAGCCAGAAGACTAAAAACAAAGAAACCGCCATTGCTAAATACACAGCCAAGATATTACACTGTAATAATAAAGATGCATATAATTACGAGCCATGGTCAACCCGAGCTCAAACAAACCTTGTCATCGTGTTGATAAATAGCCCTAGAGCCAAGAGGAGAGCAGAATCTACCCTGTGCACCGTAATAGTGTTTACAAGGGCATCTAAAGCGTGAGCGTTTTCATTTTAGCTTGCTACGCGTCTATATTTGAAATAACAAACTTCTTGAGCTATTTATAATAATGTGCGCGTGATTATTGAAGTGCTTCTGCCATCCGATTCTTTCAGTAACAGACAAACGTTTCAAAAGAGTGAAAAACTTGAGAAGACGGAAAAAACTAAGGAGCAAATGATTTTTTTAGCAACCAAAACATGAACAAACTGCCATGTTTAACTATTATCATCACCTTTTGCACTATTATGAACTCAGAATAACGAAATTATGTATGTTGCATTTATTTATTTTATATAATTGAAAACGTTACAGTAGTTTTTGCACCATTTTTGCATCATTGATCTGCAGTTATCAAATCTTGTTTATAGAGAGGTTAGTAATAAACATTTATGCAGAAGTATTTATGTGTATAAAGCATTTGTTTTGTGAGAAGTGCTGCTCATATGATACGTGAACAACCTGTACAGCTTTACTGTAGACATTTCCTCGAGCGAGTATGATGTCGACTGAAAACATTGGTAGTGGGAACGCAAGCCTGATAAAGGTGACTCGTACCGTCGCAAACTGTACCACTCAGTGGAAATGGGCCACAAGTAAACTGAAACATTTTACACGTGGTTTTAGTTTATATTCTTTAAGTTTAACAGTGTTCAGAGCAGGAACTTGATCTTTTTTAATGTGATAGTTGTGTCATTCAGAGTAACGTAGTGGGTGAGAAATTCATAACCCCATGTTTTAGTTTGGCCGAATCAACACTTTAAGTCTTAGAATCCTCTGGAAGTTCAAAGGATTCTTTTGCCTGGGTGATTGTTTATTTATCCTGCTTGTTTGTTGAGTCACAGGTGGTCTGTCTGTCTGGCTGGTGGTCTGCAGTTTTCTCATCAGCCCATCCTGTTTGTACTGCACTCACACAGCTGTGAGCCAGAAATGATGGGGTCATTCTCTGAGGCTAGTGCCTATTTTTGGAAGCTGCTGTTTTTGACATGTTTGTGCGTGTGCGTGTGTGTGTGTGTGTGTGTGTGTGCGTGTGCGTGTGTGTGTGTGTGTGCGTGTGCAGCCTGTAGTGAACAGGATTCTGAACCTGGAGCCAGACTGACATGTAGGATCCTGCTTCATCTGTTCAGAACCCCACAGCGCAACCCCTGTCCCCAGGATGGCACTAAATCAGGTGACACATACCACAAACAGTACCCTACACATCCCAAATGAGCAATTCCAGACAGGATTGCCAGATGTAACTGCCTAGCTGAGAATGATGCTTCTGCCCACAGACAAATCCATAGTGGGGATCAGGTCGTCCTGCGACCGACATCTGCTGGCTGCTTCACAGAACAGCATCGTGGTGGGAGCCGTTTTTGCTGTATTAAAAGCTGTGTTCATGCTGGGTGAGATTTTAGATTCCTTTCTCTTGACCATTCATGTTTTTGGCAACAAACAAAAGATGAATATGTATTGTAATCATACAAAAGCTCTAAACCTTGCGTTATCTTGCATTATCTTGACATGATATGGGCGGGGCTTGACATGAACAATTAATGCGCCTAACAATAAATGTGTGCATGGGATCATTCTTTCATTATCACACACGGCATGTTTTTCACCTGCTTTCTTTTGCTTAGTTATTTTTTATTTATGATTTAATTATCATCCTTTACAATAACATTGCTTAATTGGAAATTAACTTCCATTTATGTAAAGTTAACTGGTGATCTTTGACCTTTAGCCTGGACAGACTACTGTGCATGCTTTTAGATTCATGTAGATATACAATAATTATTTTAAATGTAATTTTTAAAAAAAAAGTTTGTTTTTTTTTAAATAAAAAGTGCATGTATACAGCTATAATTAGTTTGTTTCAAACTTTAATTAGTTAAAATTTGTAGCTGACAAATACTTTGTTATTTGTTTATGTATTTTTCAGTGTAGCCAGAGAAAAAATGTTGAACCCTAAAAAATTGCAACTCGACACTGATACCACAACCCATTTCCTCATGTCCATTTAGCAAGCTCTTACACAGCACACAAAAAGGTGAAATGAATGAGAAGACATGTGGACATAACACAAAATATTAATCAAGTCATTTTAGCATGTCAAAGTCAAATTTATGCATTTAAAATATATTTTCCTAACAACAAAATTGTGGCTAGTGAAAATGGCAAGTGGCTAGTAACATTAAAAAACTACTAGCCTCAGTGGCTGGTGATCAAAAAAGTTAACGTGAAGCCCTGGATATGGGTCAGTTTCACCTTAATTTAATTCAGTACTATTTATCAAAAAAACTATAAAATTAAACAATATTTATTGTTACACACAAAAAAAAAAATCAGCATGAGGACATTATTTTTCTTTTTCACAGAATATTATTATTATGACAGCACTGACAATTGTTGCGCTGCAGACCTCCTGAGTTGGAGTCCTGAATCATGGACCTACTTCCATTCAACCCCTCCCATATATATATATATATATATATATATATATATATATATATATATATATATATAGTAGGTAGTACTGTCGCCTCACAGCAAGAAGGTCGCTGGGTCACTGGTTCGAACCTCAGCTCAGTTGGTGTTTCTGTGTAGAGTTTGCATGTTCTCCTTGCCTTTGCGTGGGTTTCCCCCGGGTGCTCCGGTTTCCCCCACAGTCCAAAAACATGCGGTACAGGTGAATTGGGTGGGCTAAATTGTCCGTAGTGTATGAATGTGTGTGTGGATGTTTTCCCAGAGATGGGTGCTGGATGTTTCCCAGATATTATGCTGGAAGGGCATCCGCTGTGTAAAAAAACCCAAAAAAACTTGCTCGATAAGTTGGCGGTTCAATCCGCTGTGGCGACCCTGGATTAATAAAGGGACTAAGCAGACAAGAAAATGAATGAATGAATGAATGAATATATATATATATATATATATATACTGTCATATCTTAGTATAGGTAAAAATAAAAAAAGATCTTTAGAAAAATGATCTATTTTATAAATAATATTGTATTGCCATGTATGTTATATATTTTATATGACATATTTATTTATATTTAGAGAAGTAACTGCTAATTTCACGATCAAAAGGTTTCATACCCAGAAAATTTACCATGCTTGAGTTAATATTAGATTATATCATCAGTACAGTGAACCTTTCTTCAGATCTGCCAGATGTATAGAGCAGAGATGCCCGCGGTCTGAAGTTGGCCCTTTGTATCCTTTGATTTGGCCCACCAAAGGGGAAATGATTGACAAGGTTTGGGGAATGCCTTTACATAGATTTTTATTTTAATGTAACCTTTTGTCTGTTAGTTTTATTGTTAAGCTACAAAAATAAAAATAAATGTTTCAATAGAATGTTATAAATGGATAGGGGACAAAGAAGAAGATATCAGCATGCTAATCAAGGCAAAGTTCGTTAAAATAATATACATTTTCTAAAAATTTGAATGCATTAGTAAATGCGGTTGAAGTAATCTTTTCTTTTTATTTTTAATTATTATGAAATAAATGAGGAAATTACCTGTAGCAACTTTAGTGTTAAACAGTTTGCTATATTTACTTTTAGCCCAGAGCTCTCAATCAAGCTGGGATTTTGGCCATTTATAAGAAGAAGTTTGGGCACCCCTGATAAAGAGGGTGGTTATCTAACAAATTAAATGTATAAGCTGTACAAACTTCCATTTGCTACTCCCCAGGTCAAAAACAATTATAATAATTTGACATTGACCCACTAACATAATTTTAACAAAACAATCTTTCACATACTACTACATCTCGCAATGTCAACTTCGGTTTAAGATTAAGAACAAGATTTTTTTAAAAATGTCTTAAGTTAGCCTGTATTTCTGACAACTACATTTTTGTTAACATTTAACGGCTGCAGCAGGATTAACTGTAAAAGGCTTGTGTTAACGTTTTTAGTACATGAGTTAGATGTGGAAAAGGAAGTCAAAGAAAATCACAAATGGAGTAAATGTAGCCTAGTTAAATGTTAAAGTGTTCAGAATTAACTACAAATGATGGCTTTGTTTTTTTAGGAGATGCTGAGCTGAAAGGCTCAGGCTTTTCCCATCCTGCTGGTCTGGATGATATTGGAGAGGATGACATGGGCTCTAAAAAATCTGGAGGACGTAATGTCTCTATTGAAACAGCCAGTCTGGTGGTTTACGCCAAGTATGTGCTGAAGAGCATCTGCCACCAGGTGATGATTTTTAGAGGATCTGTATAATCCAAATTACAATTACTGTAGAGCTTAAAGTTGTGAGACTATTTTAAGAGATATCTATTCCCAACTACTGGAACACAATTTGATGTTGTGGAAATGCCTATAATTGTGCTTCTCTGATACTGTAATGGACTAAGGCCACTAAAGTGATTAATATCAGAATTACTCTGCTCACTTCCAGCGGAGATGAGATGATTTTCATAGGAAAAGCTTAGAAATGCTGGTTTTAATGTATGAAGCTTGTTTGATTGAGCTGATTTGTGTCTGTGGTTCAGGAATGGGTTGGCGAGCGCTGTCTGAAGTCTCTGTCAGAAGACAGCAGTGCACTGCAGGATCCAGTGCTGGTCAACATCCAGGCTCAGCGCTTGCTGCAGCTCATCTGTTACCCACACCGACAGCTGGACAGTGAAGAGGGTGACAATCCACAGAGACAGCGCATCAAACGCATCCTGCAGGTCATAAGAACATCTGCTCCTTAGTAGACTGAACAGAGAACCTTTTCAAACATTCACAGACAAATCTAGCACTTTAAACATTTCTATAATACAGTGAGTCCCGATAGTTTCTTGGATTGTGGTGGCCTTTCAGTTTCATAAAGAACATTTTTGTACACTATTGTAAGATCTCTAATGTTGCTTTTTGGCATTTGGCAGATCAACTGGACATTAAACTAAAGTTAATTTTAGTTCGAAATTTATTTTACTTTAATTTTATTTTACTTTTATTTTGTAGTATATTGCAGTAATAAAATTGTTTAACTTGAAAATGTTTTCTAAATGGTTTTGTATGTGATACATGAGGTCACCATAGTCTCACAGAATCATTTAGGAAACACTGTAATACACCATGTTTGTACATACTGAGGAGTTATCCTTGTTTTTGCAATTCCATTTGCTCTTGCTCTTAGTGCAGAAGAGAAACTCTTGAGCTTAAAAAGCCAGCAGAGTGGCTCCACATACATGAATACAAACACGTGAACTTGTGTTTTAGACATCAGACAGCTCTGTTCCAGCTGTTGGCAATGGAAGAGCAGCAGAGAATGAACAGACAGTCATTTCCCCAGGCTTAATTATTCATTTCACACTCTTTAGCCTATAAGCCATTAATGATTTGTGTGGGTCTCGCGGCAGCTCATTATTCTGGATTGGTTTTCATCTTCATAGACTGTGAAGACAGGGGCCCCTCGCAATTAATATCCAGCTGGGGCTCTTAAGCTCGTCTTAGATTCTTTTAAAAGCATTCTTTCCTTATTCCGTCTGTTTTTCTGCTTCCAGAACATGGACCAGTGGACCATGAGACAGTCCTCTCTTGAGCTACAACTCATGATCAAGCAAAGCTCAAATAATGTAAGCAGAAGTGTGCTTGTGGACTTTAACTGGGCTTGAGGATATTTTCCTTTAAGGTTTGTCATTTGCTGTTTCATCTTAACCCACTCTTTACAGGAGCTGTATTCTCTTCTGGAGAACATAGCCAAGGCCACTATTGAGGTTTTCCAGAAGTCTGCAGAGATGAACTCTAGTAACCCCTCCTGGAATGGCTCTGCTGTCTCGGGTAGCTCAGTCTCCAATAGCAACAGTGCCAGCAAACTCAAACCTGTGCTAAGGTGGGTGACCTCAATCATTGCTTTCTGCATGTGGTCTTATTCGCTGTCAGTTTGATGGAGTCGATGGGCTGCCCTTCATACCTTCACACAACACAAATAGGTTTTCTTTTAAAGGCATCATGAACTGAGAAATCAAACTTTCCATAGATTGTTGTTGACAGATAAGAAATCATAGTACTGCTAAAAACACTAATCGGTCTCCTTAGGATACGTTCACAGTAATTCAGATATCTAAAAGCAATCCATGTCCACACTATCGTTTTCAATTTGTTTCATCATCGACACTAAAACATCTGCAAACGCTTTTATTTATGTACTGCACAACACATAAGACACTTCAACCTGCTTCTACCTGATGTTTATTTACTTTCCATCTCTTTGAAACCTTGCACCAAAATGTTGCAACTGTGGTCTGCTTTCACCCCTAAACAACCGTTTCTAGTAAACCTTCTTTGTCCTTTGAAGAGAGGCAATATGAAGCATGTACAAACTGACATTAATCTTTAATAAAGCTGTCAAAATGGGCAGCATTCAAACATCTGCTTTACAATGTCGTCCACCGTGTTAGTTAAATAGGTCAAAATGGCTGGGAAACAGCATTTTATGTGTATCCACTTTGTATATAGTTTTTAAAAAGATACGGTTTAGTTTCCTAAAAAAGCGGCACATCAGTGTGGATGGAATGCCAAAACAAAAAGAATACGTGTTCAAGCGAAAACCTATTCTTGTGGACATGGCCTTGCTGTAAATGCAAGTCTTTTAGTTTATTAAAGCCATTCTGCCAAAATGACTGGTTGTAGGGTAGGGCTTAGCGATAAGATGATAATGTATATCAGGGGCTCTTAATCTCGGTCCTGGAGTTCCAGTGTCCTGCAGATTTTAGCTCCAACCCCAGTCTGACACACCTGGGCTAGCTAATCAAGCTCTTACTAGGCTTTCTAGAAACATCTTTGCAGGTGTGTTGAGCCAAGTTGGAGCTAAAATCTGCTGTACACATTGTCACTGAGTTTGACAACCCCAGGTATATATCAATGATGTCTCATAAGCATTGTTATGTTGATTACAACATTCAGTTATTAATTGATTCTTGCCACTATTCAGTTTCACAAACATCACACCTGAAATTTGTTAAAACCTCTTCATAGTTCTGGGTAAAAGGTGGCACTAAAAAAAACTTTCAAATTAACGGTGTAAAACGTTTTTCTTACCATGCCTTAAATGTGGTGTTTAGAACAGCTAAAAGGAAAAAACTATGAGTACAGGCTTGCCAGGCCTATTCAGATGTTGTGCTCTGATGAGGAGGGTCAAACATGACAGAAAAAGGGCCCATTACTTCTAAATTATGTTTTTGATGTAAATATTTGACAGTACTATAAAGCAAAACTTCGATAACAGAACAGACTAAGGCTTAATGGCCCTTTAGGATGAAATGTATAAGAAGTGTTGTGTTTCTCAAATACTGTTGTTGTTTGCTTCCTCCAGTTCCTCTGAGCGTTCAGGTGTCTGGTTAGTTGCCCCTCTAATTGGTAAGCTGCCCACCTCAGTGCAGGGGCACGTGCTCAAGGCTGCAGGCGAGGAGCTGGAGAAGGGACAGCATCTGGGACCCTCTTCACGAAAAGAAAGAGATCGACAGAAGCAAAAAAGGTACCACAACTTTGAATCTTCTGCAGGTGTTTCTTGCAGCAAGTGTTTATGGTGATTTCAACACAATTTATAGGCTTATTTGTACGTAGACTATAACCCATTTCAAGACTAACCTGTTTACCCATTTCAGTAACCCATCTCTACATTTTAAGTTTTAGAATCATGAATATTTGTTTTCTGTTGTCAAGGTCTATGTCTATTTAGGTTCACCAACCTGCATTCACTGCATTGTCATCAACAGTGTTTTTTTACCATATGTTGTAAGAGAAAATGCTTTATTTTGGCTTGAGTTCACTATTATGGTTTGTATTAAACAGTGATGGGAATAACGGTTTTACTAACGGCGATATTTTTTTCAGTAATGAGTAATCAAATGAATTATGGTTTCCCCTGTTACAAAACCGTTACTGATAATAAAATGTAGGTTACTGTAATTGAGAATACTCGTGCTCTTTCAGCCATAGGACCTCTCTTTCTCTGGGGTGGGTGTGTGTGTTCGGGGCTGGGGTGGGGCACATAACTAAACAGTGATGGTGATTGGTGTGTCTGTGAATTTGGTGTAACTGAGAAAGTGATTATTGGCTTAGAGTACATTTCCGTCATTTGTCAATCAGAGGCACAGTAGTGCGGGTGTTTACAAGCAAGCACACACACACAGTAGCACACAGCAACAACCAGGAGTCAGAACGATGGCAAATCCAACAAGTTCAAAGGTAGTGTTTGCAAACTGAAAATAAAAGCACTACTTTTCCCTCCCTGAAGTGAAAGGCAAGAATGTTTATGTATCCTGCAGTACTTATGCTCAGGAAGAAAGAGTCTCTCTGCTTAAGTGACAAGCAGTTCTAATCTAATGAAGCACCTCACATCGTCACATGCCGCCACAAAATTAGTGGCTATGTAGGTGAAAACGTGAGGTCTGCTACCTCTGTTACCTTTTGCGGAAAAAGAGTTGCAGTTTTTCAGCGTTCTTTGAATTTAAAGAAACCTTGATTTATTTGTAGTGAATCTACAGTAACAAATGTCTTTTCTAATATCTCTGGTAAGCTTCTGTTTTTTTTGTATTTTTTTTTTAAAAAGTCTTAGGGTGCTTTCACACCTAGACTTTTGGTCCAGAACCTGTCTCGTTTTCCCAGTTAGCTCGGTTCGTTTGGCATATGTGAATCCTGCAATCGCGCTCAGATCAGCGCCAAAACAATCAGTCTGAGTCTAGCTATATCACAGTGTTTTATGGATATGTATTAGGCACACGGCTATGTGAAGATAGAATTATGAGTGAGGTGGAAAGTCATTCCTGACATCCCAAATCTCCCTCAAATTCACAGACATGCCCTGATGCCCGCAAACAAGTGAAAATCTCCCTGAAATCGTGCATCTCCCTCCCAGTCCTCAAATACGTTGCGCCCCCTTTTCACCCCCCACCCCAACGTTCATGTGTAGAACGCACTGACGTGAGACGTCTTCTCCAGCCAATCAGAACACTTAGATGCATTTACAGCTGCGCTGTTGATGCAATTAAAAGCCTTTGTATTTTTTTACAAAAACATTTAGCTGCTATATGTCAGTCAGATACCGTTTCTGTGTTCCTTCGTAATGCCAGCAGTGAATTTATCGATAAAATAATATCGATAAAATGCTTATGATAAACTGTTGTTTGTTTCCGGATATTGATGTGTGAAAAGGGCTAATATCTGCCTTAAAAGCATAGAACATTAATCTTGTTTTGAATCTGCCACTCTGCTGACACAGGCATTTGTAGCTCTGCCCTCTTTTGAAAAGGGCACAATCTCATTTGATTTTAAAGCGACAGTCACCAAAATGGCACAGTTAAGATCAAAGCCCAATTGGGGCAATTTCAAATAGTTTATAAAGCAATATTTGTGGTGTATTTTAATTTTAAATTTCACATACACGCTCCAGGGACTTCAGAGATACTTGACATCTTGTATAAAGTGGCATAATAGTTCCTCTTTAAAATAAAATAAAAATACAGCATTTCACTCAATATTTATGTGTGCTGCTGGTTTTGTTTACATTTTTAGCCATGTTCAGTAACACGGGTGCATCATGATGATTACCACACATCTTTTCTCTTTCAGCATGTCTCTCCTGAGCCAGCAGCCCTTCCTGTCACTGGTTCTGACATGTCTCAAAGGGCAAGACGAGCAGAGAGAGGGTCTCTTGACGTCCCTCTACAGCCAAGTCCAGCAGGTACTTCATAAACTCCACCACCCAAATAACTCCTCGTGGCGTTGTCAGTGACTGAACAATATGATGTATCCTCCATCAGATTGTGACTAACTGGCGAGAGGACCAGTACCAGGACGACTGCAAGGCTAAGCAGATGATGCACGAGGCCTTGAAGCTGCGACTCAATCTGGTGTGCAACTTTTCCCTCTTTCTCTCATACATCATCTGTCAAAACAAGTGCGATCTCTGTGTTCATCTGCCTCTCATCAATCTCATTTCCTTGTGTTGTGTGCCCAAGGTTAAACTGCCTAAAAGACAAATGAATGTCTCCAAAGTCCAGTTGAGGCCAGACACTAAGAGACAAAAAAAACTATTTTTTTATGCACCTGTCAGTTCTGGGATTTTTGGATATTAGGGATGCAACAATACAGTTAGCCCACGGTTCAATACATACCTCGGTTTTTAACACTGTTTTTGGTTCGGTTCAGTTAAGTTTTATTTTATAGGCAATAGGAACAGTAGGAGGTTAGGGAGAAAAAAATAAAAACGATTTATTGCAATACTCACTTGGTATTACTTAAAAGCCATGAAAAGTACACTAGTTCCTAGTGTATTGTATTAATAAAAATGAACACTGAAATCTCCCAGCTGCTGGTAGCTCATTTACAAACTGGGGAACACATAAAATCCTACACTTTAAAAATAAACATACATGTGAAGCTAATAAAGATAAGTTGGCTATTTCAAATAAACATGTTTGTACCTAAGTAAACATAAATAAACCATCTTAATTATCTTGGTGCTGAAAAAATACGAGACTGTAGTCTATAATGTGGATCGAGTGCTTTTATAAAATGACGAAAACCCAAATCTCCAATCACCAAAAACGGCTGAAAATCTTTAGCAATAAACACCCGCACTGCCTTTGTTATTTTTATGTGTCTCTCGAAACCAGTCGGATATGTTTGCTTGAAAGATTCAGCGAGGAATTGTTGCTATTTGGAGGCCTTTATTATCTTCTCTGCTATCCCGCCTTCAGACAGTGATATTGCTGGGTGATGGCGCTGTAGATGTGCAGTCATGGTTATACGTGTAAAACAATGCTTGCATACAGTTATTTTTTGTTCACCATTTTTACTTTTATTGGCATTATACTTACCGGCAAAACCGAAATGTCCTCAGACCGCAGATTTGAAAGACGCTTTCTCATACTGTTGCCTCACTTCTCTGTTTCTTTCTCGTACTGTTGCCTCAGCCTCACTTAACCGCCGCACGCCAAGTTAAAGTGTGGAATGATGGTCAAGCGCCCCCTAACTTTAGAGCATAGTGATTGGATATTTACTCGCAGATAGAAGTTTCCTTATCTCAGCTCATGGACTTAAAGGCACACACAGTCAATTCGGGGAGATATAAAATGCAAAACCTAGAAAACCGCAATTCACAAGCGCGTATTGAACCGTGGAGGTCGTACAGAACAGTTCAATGTTATATTGAAACCGTGCCATCCCAAGTGGATATATATATTTATTTTAAAATGTTTGTTTATAGGGTAACACTTTACAATAAGGTTCATTAGTTAATGCGTTTACTAACATGAACTAATCATGAACAACACTTGTACAGCATTTATTAATCATAATTGAACATTTACTAATGCATTATTAACAATCAAGTCCATGCTTGTTAACATTAGTTAATGCACGGAGTTAACATGAACTAAGAATGAACAACTGTATTTTCATTAACTAACGTTAACTAACATGAACAAATACAGTAGTAGATGTATTGTTCATTGTTTGTTTATGTTAGTAAATGCATTAATTAACATTAACTAATGAACCTTATTGTAAAGTGTGACCATTTATACTTGGTTTTGTTTTGTTTGTTTTTTTTTTTGTTTTTTTTTTTACTTTGTCTTGTTTTGGTTTTTTGTTTTGTTTTTGTACTTTTTGTTTTGTTTGTTTTTTACTTTGTTTTGATTGCCTTTTTATACTTTTTGTTTTGTATTTAGTTTTGTTTTTTGTTTAGTTTCTGTTTGTTTTGTTTTTTTGTTCTTTTTTGTTTTCTACTTTGTCTTTTGTATTGGTTTTTGTTTGGTTTTTGTTTGTACTTGTTTTTTGTTTTGTTTGTTTTTTTAACCATTTGTCTTGTTTAGTTTTTTACTTTTTGGTTAGTTTTTACTACTTTTTTGTTTTTTATTTGTTTTTATTTGTGTTTTTTTATTTTGCTTTGTTTGTTTTTTTTACTTTTGTTTTGTTTTGCTTATTTTTTGTTTTGTTGCTTTGTTTTGAGAAAACGTTCAAACATCCTTTTGAATTGTTACTTCTGTTGTGCTTTATTAGTGTCAATTATCAGTTTTCACTCATTTACCAGCAGTGCCCTAATATGCATTCAGCTAATTTATTTATTTTTTCTTGTCACATGGTCTAGGTGGGTGGGATGTTTGACACTGTACAGCGTAGCACTCAGCAGACAACAGAGTGGGCAGTGCTTCTGCTGGACATCATCAGCAGTGGCACAGTGGACATGCAGTCTAACAAGTGAGATCTGTCATCACCCACTCATTCACTGTCATTAATCTTTTGAGATGTAGCATCTGGTTTGAATGATGTTTGCTCTTTTGCCTTAGTGAGCTCTTCACTACGGTTTTAGACATGCTGAGCGTGTTGATTAACGGGACTCTGGCGGCTGACATGTCCAGCATATCTCAGGGCAGCATGGAGGAGAATAAGAGAGCTTACATGAACCTGGTCAAGAAGCTCAGGGTGAGACATACGATGCTCAATAAATAGCAGCACCCACAATAACTAGACTACCATTCAGCAGTTTTATGTTTATTTGCATATATGTTTATGTTATGTTATGTTTATGTTAGTTGTAGTGAGTTTCTTAGGGTATTAAAGGTGTTTTCTGTCACTACTTGTTTAGCCTGCATTAATGCATTCAGTGTAAGCTGCACAAATTATCATTAAAAGATCAGGATCTCAACACCCACGCAGCATAAGTTATAAATGATGGTGATTTGGAAAGGTTTATTAAGCCTTCAAATCGCTGAATTTAAATCTGTGTTTGAAAAATGCAAAAATTAAGAAAGAGAATTCAATCAAAAAGAGATTGAGTCTTTAGTCTTTTAATGTTTATGAAGTTACAAGCAGTAAAATTACACAGAAGTACTGGGACAACAGTTTATATATTAGATAAAACCACTGATGTTTATGGTCAAGATTACAATCACTGTCATATGCACATAGTTGAATTACTCTTCAGTGTTTGGACTCTCAGCAGTGAATAATAAAACACATTAAACTGAACTGAACTAATTTAAGCTGAACTGAACTTAAACTCTGAACACTGAACTACACTCAATTTACTATAATCTTCTATGTGAAACTGCTTTGACACAATCTACATTGTAAAAAGCGTTATACAAATAAAGATGAATTGAATATGCTAAAAAATGAAAGTTGTAGGCAGCAATAATATTATTTACCCAAAAAGGTGGCAATAACCAGCCATCAATTATATGCCACTGAATAATTCTTCAAAAATGACACATTTAGCAATAAAACATGAAGTTTTACGAGTGAATAACTAAATCATTTATTGAAAATGAGACCCAAAATAAGTATGAACTGTATAAATGATAGTTACACATTTAGCGTTATCAGCAACAGTAGTTGTAACAGTGAATTGTTTTTTTTTATTTTACTGAATGTTTAAATATAAACAATTTATTTTTATTCAGCTGATTATTTTTTCATTTTAATTTTTATAAAATTAGAGGTTCTAATTTCTGTTTTTTAAAACCGAAAGTGTCTTGCCTACTGTTTTTGTAATAAATGGAAGCAAATTACATTTTTCTCCTCCCCCTTTTTGGCTGATCCGAAAAACGGTCCGATCATCTGACTAAAAAAAAAATGACGTGATCCAAACCGTGAGATTTGTGATGCTTTATACCACTAATAAAAAAAGTAGCAAAACAGCATCACTCCACAGTATTTCCTGGCAATAATTGCTCTGTTTATACAGGAATTGTTCACCTAAAGATTCTGTCACCATTTACTTACCGGTGAGAAAAAAAAATTCTGTTAAATGCAAAAGAAGATATGTTAAGCTATGTTGATAAACTGGATTTGTCATTTTGTTGTCTTTTTTGTAAAGAACAATACATCCTATCTGATGTATTTATAATTTTATTCTGAAATCGTTATTATTATGTAATATGCTTTTATCTAAATGAAATAGCTGTAATTTCCTGATGAGGCAATAAATAAAAAAAACTAACTTAATTGAATTGAGAAATGTTTCACTTGCAACCTGCTGAATTAAATGTATAAACATTTTTTAAACAGACTTGCATTTTAAGTACCCACAGTTATACCTGTTAACCCTGCTTAGAAACCGCTTGACATGTTTAAATGCAGTGTGGTGAGGGTTTTGCATGGGTAGGCGCCACTTGCTTTTTCTTTCAAAAGTGTGACACTATTTTTCTTTGCCTTGCAGAAAGAACTTGGTGACCGACAATCCGAGAGCTTGGAGAAAGTGCGTCAGTTGCTGCCTCTGCCCAAGCAGACGCGTGATGTCATCACCTGTGAGCCCCAGGGGTCACTCATTGACACAAAGGGCAACAAAATTGCTGGATTTGAAAAAGAGGCAAGTTGCTCTTTATTGTGTTGTAGCACAGCTTGCCTCAGGCCGTTCACTTACTTTTGCATTAATTTTGTCATCTCTCGTATACAGGGTCTTCAGGTATCAACTAAGCAGAAGATTTCTCCATGGGATGTGTTTGAGGGACTAAAGCACTCTGCTCCGCTCTCCTGGGGCTGGTTCGGAACCATACGGGTCGACCGCAAAGTCACTAAGTTTGAAGAGCAGCAGCGGCTCCTGCTTTACCACACACACATCAAGCCCAAGCAACGCAGTTACTACCTGGCGCCCCTCAACCTGCCCCAAGAAGAAGAGGAACCACTCACTCCTGTGCCTCCCGAGCCAGACAAGAAGCTGGACACAGCGAAGGTGGAGAAAAGCGTCTCCAATGTCCCGACTAAGAAAAAGAAAAAGAAACCTGCATCGACGGTTAAACAAGAGGTACAACCAGAACCAATTTTTTTTATTCTGAAACATATTTATGAGGTATTCATTTGATGCAAACCCAGACATTGTTTTCTGTGATCTAGGACTACAAGCCACACAACACAGTCATGCAGTACGCTCCAGGCATGACCCCTGATCTCCCACTGAGCATGGGACAAACAAACATGTCATATCGAATGGGCTACCAAGCTCCAATGAACATGTATGCCCAGAACCAGCCTTTACCACCAGGTCAGCACAAATCATAGAATGTCTGAAGCTCTTGTTCTAACTTTTCTTTAAATAAAAGACAGAAGTTGTGACCTTTGACCACAAAACCATCTAATTTTGATTATCAATGCACATTAATTTCGATTTATTCAAATTTTGTACATCCGTGTTTCTTAATTTAATTCGCCAAACACATGACATGACAATTCGTCCACAACACGTGACAGGTAAGAGCTTGCTTTCTCTGGTGAATCAAGTGTTTTTATTTCACCTATTTTGTGGTTACGATAAGTGCCGCAAGGAATCCATGTCTGATGCCATTAATCTTACATTTCTTTTTAACTTCGGCAAATCGATCTCTGCTTCAACACTTCCGTTGTCAGGTCTCGAAAGTTCTGCACTTTTGTACCTTTATATTCCAAAGATTCCAACTTCATGATTAATTATTTTGTCTGGTAGTGATGTAATCTGATGACAAATGCTGTCGGGCGATTATCTTTCAGTCTCCGCTGCGTTCCATGTGCTCGATCTACATGTACTGGTTTAAAGTTTTCTGTGCCCAGCAATTTTGGGAGTAGTTCCGCGATGAATATGGTAGGTCTACCACTTTCTTCCTTTTCAGTAATTCCCACAAGTCGTATGTTATTGCGCCTGGAGCCTGATTCGAGATCATAGAGTCGTTTGCATTCGTCCACTAATTCTGCACACTGCTTTTGTACTGCTGATTGGCGTACCTCATGATCTGTGCAAGCCTTTTCAATCGGTGCATTTTTTTTTCTGTGATCGGCGTCGAAACGCAATTCTGCAGTCGTTTGTGTAAAGGCATAAAAATTTTGATAAACTGATGCTTTTAAGGCTGTTATGGCATCCATAATGTCTTGATTGTAAGGAGAAGTTGTGCTACCTATGTTGGCTGTTTGCCTCAGCTCCTCTGGGTGGTAGTTTTGCAGTGGTCGTCGTCTGACACTTTTTGCAATCTTCTTTCACTTTTTTTTTTTTTTTTTTTTTTTTTTGGCATTATCAAGGTATAGGCCCAATCCCAGTTCTACCCCTTAGCCCTTCCCCTTACCTGCCTTGCGGCTGTTGTAGCTGGTGTATTTAAGGAAATTTTCTTACACCTTGGTTTCGAGTGTGGTGCTGAAAAATCTCCATTTGTAAGGGTATCTAGCCCTTCCTCTTAGCCATACGCCTTCAAGCTAAAGAGAATTGGGACACCCCTACTCCTTCATGTGAACGTGCAAAATAGGGGGTATTGGGGTCTTAATTATCTCTGCCACAATATATTGTTATGATAACATTATATATGCTTTTAGTGATTTTCTGAAGATAAATACCAAAAACTAACACAACTGGAATAACTACAGCAGTCATGATCATCTGATCTCATATGAAGCAAGAGATTGCAATGATGTGTCAAGGTCTTGTTGTGCGGTCCCCTTTCTTAGGGGTAAATTTTGAAGCCCTTCACTTCACACTCTGTTTCAAGGGCCAAGGGGAAGGGGTAGTGATACAAAAATAGAACAGAGATTAGACTTTGTGTTCTTGAATCTCTTGAGAACAGTTTTGATGATCAATAATTAAATCTGAGGTTCAATTATCTTAAATTATTTGTAGGGTTGTTGGAGCTTAGACATGAGCAGTCTTCTCTATGTGCCCCGGAACCGGAAGTACATCAATGCAGATTAATAATCAAAAGTTTTGTTTTTTTATTTTTATGGTCCAAAATGTATAAAAGGTTTCGAAAGAACATGATTTTTACTTAATATTCTAATGCATTGTTGGCTATTCATAGAATTATACACTTTCAATGGAAGACTAATTTTGTGGTCCAGGGCTACAATTCATGAAGCATTTGTTTTACTACTTTTAGTAATATAATATTCACGTTGGACATCTGATCCTTATTTTTTTAATGTATTTCCTTCTATTTCCTTTTTTCCACCCTTAGGAGGTCCTGGTTTGGAGCCACCTTTTCGTCCTAGGGTTCCTATGAATAAAATGCCTCCACGTCCCAACTACACTATGCCTAATATGCAGACCGCTGGCATGGGCAACCTAATGGGAATGGAGAAGCAGTACCAGATGAACTATAAACCCATGCCCAACATGGCTCAGGGGCAGATGCTCCGTCATCAGCTACAGGTCAGACTGGTGAGTCTGATTTTACTGATCAAGACCCCAGACCAAAAACACACACGGTTTCCTTGTTTAATGTGTCTTACTGTTTCATGTGATTTGCAGTTTTGCATTTGAATTAGTGGTGCTTGTCATGACAGTGATGCTACACACAATTGAAACGCACATTTTGAAGTAAAATTATTTCACCAATAGAAACTTTCTCTAACAGACTCTGTTATTAAGGGTGTACTCACACTAGGCTATCTGAACCGTGCTCAGGCACGTTTGACTACCATTTCCCGATGCGTTTGACAACTATGAGTGTTTCGAATCAGGCCCAGATGTGGTTCAGTTGGCTGACTCTGGCCCAGTTAGAAGATGTGTGCCAAAGCGTGATTCAGTTGGGCTTTGGCCCGGTACGCTTGTAATGTGAGTGCAAATCACACCTAAGTTTGAAGTCTGAAAACTGAAGCCCCGACGTCAACTTTAAGGGACTATTTCATATGGATTTATGATTCATTATTACTGTACCATGAACGCAAACTGTCATAGTTTATTAAAGATGCTAACCCCTGGCTGCACGTCAGCTATACCTTCAGCACACTTATGGTTGCAGCACGATGACTTTCATGAACATTTACGAGTGTCAAAAGTGGTGGATCTATTGAGCAAAAGATTTGACTGTGTGTCACTGCACATCAAACCACTTAAAATAATACAAAATATAACTAAAGCAATCTCCATTGAAGCGAGCAAGATTGCTTCTCTTCTGTTAAACTGAACAGTCTCATCTTCAATGATGTAAGCTTACTCGGGCTCGGAGGGCAAAAAATGCAATGTGAGTGCTGGCCGAGGGGAGGGAGGGACAATTGTGCCTGGGCATAGTTCAAGTCAACTGTGCCTAGTGTGAGTTCACACTAAATCTGATGTCGCACATCACTGTTATCAAATGTTGCTTCCAAATTTAAACAACAACTGGTGTTAATTTAAACTCTAAACTTTACTTCCTTAACGGAATTGCAAAACACAAATAAATGCTGTTCTGCAGTTCCTGTCCAATTCTGTATTATGCCTGTTTTTTGTCATTATAATAATTAGATAACTTTTTTTATCCTTAGGAACTGCTGGGTTTAATACTTGACTGAGGTCTTAATAACATGTCACGTTTGCTTATTGGTGAAAATAATGAATATATATGAATTCATATTGCACTATATTAATTAAAATATTTGATTTCATGAAATTTTAATACAGTAGTTATACAAAATATTTAATAATACTTTTGTTTTGGTTTTTGGCTAGTTGCAACTTGATTTTTTTCTGTGTGTGTTTCATTCAGTGTATCTCTACTCACAACTTAAGTAGCCAGCTTGCTATCCCCTATAAAGCGCACACGATCTTCTGTAGTTACCACTTGGTACTGTTTAGCGAATTATAAGTCCACGTTTTTGACAACATCAACAATAAAATAGTTGAAAAATATACTGTTGACTAGACATTTGCAGCTATTGACTTATTGATGACTTCTGACAAGGACAGAAAACTTTAAGTAAAATTTTTCTTATTAGTAGACTTGGTTTACTTTTTATTGCCCTTTCAGCTGCAACCCATCAATGGGAAACACCCATATACACTCTCATTCACACACATACACTACGGACAGTTTAGCTTACCCAGTTTGTCTATACTGCATGTCTTTGGACTTGTGGGGGGAAACCGGAGCACCCGGAGGAAACCCACAGGAACACGAGGAGAACATGCAAACTCCACACAGAATTGCGACTGACCCAACTGAGGCTCAAACCAGCGACCTTCTTGCTGTAAGGCCACAGCACTACCCACTGGGCCACCCAACCTTTGAATTATGTTATGGAACTAATCAATGATTACCCATTCTCATGTTTGCACCCCCTACACCCAATGCTTAAAATCATCTAGCAATCCCTGAACAGCTACCATGAATATCCTAACATCACCTTAGCAACTTCTCAATGCACCCTTCAACCACTTAACAACAACGCAGAAGATAAAAACACAAGTTTTACGTAGGCACCATCTAGCTACTGCCGTCTAGTGATTTGTGAGTGTTTAGGAGAAGGTTTGGATAATGATTTTCCAGAAATGAGAAGCACTTGTTTTTTTTGTTTGTCTGTCGGTCTCTTCAGGGTCATAATCATTTAATTGGACAGCAGATTAGACAAGTGACACCTAATCCACAGTATTCATCAATGCAGCCAGCACAGGCAAGTATTTGTGCATTTCCAGCCACATTTGCAGTGTCCTATTCCTAGTCATCTAGAAAAAATAACAGCGTTTCTCTTTTTCAGAATATACCCCAGGGCTACACCTCCTACGGCTCACACATGGGGATGCAGCCACACCCCTCTCAGACCCCTGGAATGGTTCCCAATTCATATGGAAACCAGGGCTTTCAGACAGGACATCCTGCCACTAACCCAACTATGGTGGACTCAATAAGGCAGATGCAGCAGAGACCTGGCTACGTCCATCAGCAGGCTCCTGCGGCATATGGGCACACAATCCAGAGCACACAAAGGTAAGACGGACAATTCTTGACCTAGCACTTAGAGGCTAAAATAAATGAAAACCTGTAACGGCCGAGACACACCAAGCCAATACTTGGCCGTTGGGCAGCATCGAATGTCTGTCAGTGTCAGACAGGCTTGTTGGTTTGGTGTGTTTTTCACACTTTCTCACATTGGGGTCATGGCAGTGAGAGTTTGCCCGATTTAGCATGTAGAATCAACATCGATGAAAGAGAGTGCTCTGATTGGCTGTTCAACTGCAAATCAGAGCATAGGAAAAAAACAAAGTGATGCAACTAAGCAACACGAGAAATTTGGCTGTAATGTTGACATTTATGTGGATTATCAACATGAAGTGTTGGTGGTCCTCTAGGAATGTGATTGGGAAACACGAATCGACTACACCTCTTCATTAACTTGTCCATTATCTGAGCCTTGATCTCTGGATGTGAAATAGTCTATTTTAACATCATTTAGCACTGAGCAGGCTGAGGCAGGTAAGAACATTTAAGTGATCAACTATTTAAGACATTGTTCTGTTGTGCTGCTATCGCACAAAAAAGGACAATAGGTGCTGTAGTTTACACTACTAGCTCTAAACAAGCATTGATAAACTTTTTTTTCCCACAACTTCTATGGCTTATTTTGATAGATGAGTTGTCTGGAATATTAATAGACTGAAAGCTATGGTTAATTTTTTTGTGTAGGTTCAAATTCATGTTTATTTCTATAGTGCTTTTACAATGTAGATTGTGTCAAAGCAGCTTAACATAGAAGGCTTCTAGTAAATTGAAACTCTGTCGGCCCAGTTTTCAGAGTTAAAGTTTAGTTAAGTTTGGTTTAATTTTCACTGCTAAAAGTCTAAACACTAAGGAGCAAATCCATCAAATGTGCAGCTCCACAAGTCCTAAACCAAGGAAGCCAGTGGTGAGCAACAAAACTTCACCAATTGACAAAAGTGAAGGAAAAAAACTTTGAGAAAGCAGGCTCAGTTGGGCACGGCCATTTCTCCTCTGGCCAAACTTCCTGTGTATAGCTGCAGTCTAGGCTGGAGAACACTGGACATTCATTGTGAAGAAGCTGCAGGTGTGACTAAGGCTCCGGTGGGTGTTCAGGCTGGCCCACCGAATCAATGCAAAAACTCGTCTGCCACTATACTTTCAGGAATCAGTCTCATGCTCTCCACTCCTCCGGGACTGCCACTGCATCTGCTCAGGATACGGCCTGGTCCAGGATTAAGGATACCACTAGAAATGCTCTGTGGTTGGCATCATCTTTTGACAAGTCTTTGATCACATCAGTGGCGCTGCACAATCTCTAGAGACCCCATGTGGAAATACAAAATAATTAGCGTAGCTGCTGTTCATAGTGTATTTTACAAGAGATGTTAAATATCAGTGCAAAAAAGAAGTGCTATAAATGAAGATAGTAGTTATATAATCAAACATAGAAACAAACATGTAAAACATAAGATTATTTCTAACAAAGTGTCTGGTGCATTGAGACAGGAGGAGTGTGTCCTACAGGTGGTTTGTCAAGCCCACTCGCCTGCGTGGAGCACATTAATGCATCAAACCATTTTGTGATGCATTGTGTGTATGCTTTACTAACAAGATTTAGTTTTGAACTGCTAGAGTGTGTTTGAGCCTCCGACATTATCAGGAAGTCTATTCCAGAGTTTAGGAGCCATAAATGAGAAGGCTCGACCTCCTTTAGTGGACTTTGCTATTCTGGTTACTACCAGAAGCCCTGAGTTTTGAGATCTTAAAAAGCGAGTTAGATTGTACCGAGACAAAAGGTTGGTTAGATAAACAGGAGCTAGATTATTTAAAGCTTAAGACATCTTAAGATAGACATTTGTGAGGTTTTCCCAGAATGCATCATACATGATGGTACCATACCTCATAAATGTGGTAACGCTATACTGCACATGCCTAATTTGATGAAGTATGAGACAAATCTAACATTCATTATATTTCTCAGGTTTCCGCATCAATCCATGCAGCAGACACCCATGATGCACGGCTTGGCTCAAAGTCACTTGGGAGTGCAGGGCATCCACCCAAACATGAGGCCCAATCAGATGATGGAGCAGCAGCAGCAACAACAACAACAACAACAGCAACAGCAGCAACAACAACAACAACAACAGGTCCACCAGCAGCAGCAGCACATCCGACAGGGTCCAGTTTTTAGAGTAAGTGCACATTCCCAACATCAATCGCACTGCTTAGTGAAATACAGTATTCCACCTGGTTTGTTCACATGAAGTATGAGATATTGAACAAAGTTTTCAAAGCAAGTTTTGTTTGCATCAATCGATTAATACTTTCAAACAACTATGGGTCCCTGCTAATTGCATAATAGGTTGTTTGCAATCACGTGGTTCTGGTTATGTGCGAAATTCAGATGGAGGCCAGGAAGTAAAAAACAGAAGGGTAGACATGGGGCAAAGTCGGTATTTTTGTGTTTAAGACCATATTTCAAAGGAGATATGAATAGAAAATAACCACATATGTTGGGCATGATCTCTGTTTCATGAAGAGCGCCGAGTTTTCTACTAACCTAAAATATAATTGCCTGTTATCGAGGCAGTAGATACTGTAAAACAGGGATGTCAAACTCAATTCCTGGAGGGCGCGCAGCCCTGCACAGTTTAGTTCCAACCCTAATTAAGCACACCTGATCAAACTATTTGAGTGCTTTAGTCTTGCTCGAAACCTACAGGTAAGTGTGTTGAAGCAATTAAACTGTGCACGGCTGCAGCCCTCCAGGACTTGAGTTTGACATCCCTGCAGTAAAAGCTATTACGTTATATAAATAAAATACTGTAGTAAATACTATAGTGTTTGGAATCATGTAGATAATTGCTTTGATTAAGCTGTCATTAGCAAAGACTTGTACACACAATACACTTTACTATGTGGTTCAAAAACATGTTTATTATGAATTACTATAGTTTTTTCCCCATGTGGAAATCTTTCAGAAATAACAGATGAAAGCATACGAAAGGGTGGACGCATTATTTTAGCTGAATTAGCTTGTCAGATGGTTATCATAACCACACTTTTTGATGTACTAAAATAAATCCTAAAGATTTAATACAAATTCATTGCATCATATCATTAGAAAAAATATATATGAATCATTTTTTAAATTAAAAACAAGCCTTTTGTCAAATTACAATTAACAAACTTGCCAGCACATTGTACAACTTTACAATTTTTCTAGCCTCTCTTGTAAAAAAAAGTGCATTTGGAAGTTCATGGATAACAAAAATAGCCAAATTAGTATTCAAATTCAATTAATATGGGCTGCTTTTGGTGCTTCACACTTTTTTATTGCTCATTTTTGTTTGAAGAATAAGTCCAAGATTTAGAATAAAAGCTACTTGTAAACTGTTTTCTCTATTTAAAAACAATACAGTAGCGAAAGATGACTTCACTTGCGTCAGATTGTATGTTTTCTAGCAGCTGGATGTTAAAAAATAATTGAATGAAAAATAATTGTTTGCTTTGGCCAAAACTGATTAGACAAAGTCACAACAGCCAATAGAGGATTCCACTCAGACTTAAAGCCTTTTCGATTGGGTATTTTCACTATTTATGATGGCATAGCAGTCAAAATAGGACAAATGAGCTCACGTCTGGGACAAAATCTGGACCTTTGTCAGTCAGGGGTGAATCTTTTGAACCACCTCAACCTCCATCTATAGTAGGAAAAATAATTACTCTGGAATCGATTGGCTTCCAGTTTGCAACGTTCTTCAAAACTCTTTTGTTCAACAGAAGAAACTTAAAACAGGTGTGTGACATGAGTAGATGACATCATTTTTATTCCCCTTCCCTTTAAAACACACTGTCTTTCTGGTGACTACCCTTTTTTCATTTTAATGATTGACTCAATGAATATGTTTGTCCACACAGCCACAGCAGCAACAGCAGGTTCAGCAGCAAGTGCAACAGCAGGTCCAGCAGCAGCAGGTCCAACAGCAGCAGGTCCAGCAACAGGTTCAGCCTCAGCAAGTTCAACAGCAGCAGGTTCAGCAGCAGCAGCAGCAGGTGTCTGCAGCTCAGCCTCCCGCTCAGGCCCTGGGCATGCAGGCTCTGCCCCCGCAACAGCCCATGGTGAGACTGCAAACCTTCACCATCATCTGCCTTTTAAAAATTCACCATATGCTCACTGAAACCCAAAGGGTGGAAAGTTGATGAGAAATGATAAATCTGCAGCCTCTTGTAGCTTACTGATTTACTTGGTTTTTATTGTGATTTGCATTTTCTTATTTAGTTCCAGCGGCAAGGCATGCAGCAAACCCAGCAGCAGCAGCAGACCGCAGCACTGGTCAGGCAACTCCAGCAGCAGCTCTCCAGTATGTACTCTAACTACCATGACATGCACTGCTATCCTCATCCTTGTTTAATACACACTGCAGCTTTTTTAAAAAACATTTTTCTAGTTTATAAAATCATCTTGCCATCCTGAGTATGTGATATTTGCATTGGAGTTGTTTCATTGCTCATGCAAAATTTAGAATGGTATTTATGAATCATCATTTGTGCACAAAAATATTATGCAGCATATTTGACAAAAAAAAAATTATGCAAAGTTAATAATTAAAACAGGATTTTTACCTCCTCATGGGCCAAAAAGTAGCAATAATAATGTTGTGCATTAGAGCTGAGAAATCAGATTTTTGAAATGCATTTTTATTCTGTCTTTTATTTTGAGTTTTAACAACAGATGACAATCTAGGCTAGTTTTTAACTGTTCTCTCTCACGGGTACACACACACACCCACACACACGTTTGTTTTGTGAAAAGTGGGGACATTACATAGGTTGCCATTCATTTTATACTGTTCAAACCGTATATTATATTGTCCCCAACCCACTCCTAAACCCAACCATCACAGGAGACTGTGTGAAGCTTTACTCTCTGATTAAACTCATCCGGTAGGATTTATAAGCATTTTGAGAAATGAGGACGTCATTAATGTCCTCATATTTCACCTCATTTTTGTAATACCTGTGTCATACCCATGTCATTATACAGATTTGTGTCCTGATATGTCACAAAAACACGTACACACACACACACACACACTATTAAAGAAGAGCAATGCTATGTGGTAAAGGTCATGTAAGTTGTATTTTGTAATGATTAATGTGAACAGCTCAGTCAACACTTTTTGTAATTAACCTAAATCTTTCATAATTTCATTAAAGATTATTTTAGCTTCAAGTGGTATTCAGAAAAAATTGGATGGAAATGGATTACAGCTATTTTGTATATGGTTCTGTGGGACCACCAGCTCTGGATATTTTCCATAGCTGCGTCCCAAATGCCACACTATATACTTGCACTCAACAGCATAGTATATGTTTGTAGTGTCATCCCAAATGGAGCACTAATGTTTTTAGATTAAGCAGAAATTCAAACCGTTTCCCTGATGACTTTTGACGGTTGCCAAATCAGTGAAATAAACAAGTGGTGCTCGCTGCAGAGCCATTTGAGGAGAGCTGAGCTCCAGCGAGGGGGAGCTTAACCTTGAGCTCCACCTTTTTTGCACTTCTTCTACGAGTGATGTCACTGGGGGTAGGGTTAGGGGTGGGGTTGGTGTACGCATTAAAACAGCTTTCAGGAGGAGGAGCGACAGCTCATGCTCCCCCTCGCTGGAGCTCAGCTCTCCTCAAATGGCTCTGCAGCGAGCACCCTATCGAAATAAATGACCAAACTACCAAATAATACCTGCCATGAGTATAACCGCATTCACCATCAGGAGGTGCTATAATCACTCTTGTAGGAGAACACTGCTTTCAGAATAAATAATCTAACATGAGCACCCAAAAGCTCAGCCCCTTCTGCTACATGAGCAAAGCTGCAGCCATGAAGTGTGTGAAGTGTCCATCATTCCACACTTCATTTTACCGGTTGAACAAGTGCATCATCTGGGTAATTAAAGTGCACTTGTTCTTTTTTTTATTTTTTTTATTTATTTATTTATTTTTTTTTTAGAGTTTTCAGTGTGAACACACAACTTACACTATTCATACTACAAAATGGGGTAGAATAATGCATAAGCAGTGCAATTTGAGATGCACCTCACGTCTCCTTTACTAAACACACCCAATTCAGATCATCAGCTCATTAGCAGAGACTGAAAGACCTGCAATGGATGTGACACACAGAACACGCAGTGTTGGATGTCCTCCAGGAACTTGATTGAGAAACACTGGTATACAGCATACAGAGCCATCTGCTCAGAATTGGTTGCATCAAAGAGAGAATAGCAATGCATTTTGAAAATCTAAGAAACTGTCTCTTAAATTATTTGTGCATACAGATTAGGAAATTTGCTCACTGCTATGTACAGGCCTGTTGCCAGGGACGGTTTGGGTGGTTCGAAAGACCCACCCCCCACTGACAAAGGTCCAAAATTTGTCCCATACATCAGCTTGTCCTACTTTGACTGCTGTTCCATCATAAATTGTGAAAATGACCTACCTCTTCAGCTAATCAGTTTTGTCCAGTGCAAACTTTTATTTTTTAGACTACATCTGTGCAAGAAAACACACAATCTGACAAAAGTTGTCATCTTTCAATACGGAACTATTTTATGGTTGTTAAATGGAGAAAACATTTTAAAAGTAACTTCTATTCTTAATCTTGGACCTTATTCTTAAAACAAAGAAATTATCAATAAAAAGGCGTGAAGCACCAAAAGTGCCCCATATTAAAGTCAATTTTATTACTAATCAGGCTATTGTTATCCATAAAGTTTCAGAAAAGAGAAACATCTAGAAAAATCATGGAGCTCTACATTATTATTGTTCATTTATTTGTTTATTTTCATATTTAAATGGACAAATTCTAACTAAGGAAAGTTTATTGTGCTGGCCAGATTGCTATTTGACTAAAAAATGAATATAAGCTACAGTTATTATTTAAAACATTTAATGAATCCTATTTTTTCTTTATAAAATCATGTTATAAATTAGTATTTTAAAGTATGTTTTTTGTTTTTTCAAAATCTTTAAGGAAATGTTTTGGAACATCAAAAAGTGTACTTATAATGACCATCAAACAAGCTATTTTAACAAAAAAAATGCTTAAAATGTCATAAAAACAACCTCATAATTAAATAGAAAATGACACAAATAACTGCAAAAAGGTCCACTTTTTGAGAAAAAGGAACCCCCCCCCCCCCTTTAACCAGGCTGGCAATGGACCTGTTGTATACCTAGCATACACAGAAAACAAATAATACTTTTAAACTTTAAAAGATTTCAAATCTGATTTTACATCATTAAAAGTTTTTATCCTATGTGCTGTTCTTATCAATGCAGTCATCACAAAAATATTGATCAATTTTTTTATTGTTTCTTTTTCCCCTAGGTACTCAACCTGCACAGAACAACAGCTCCTATTACTGAGTGTTTGAATGCATTTCATCAATGGTAAAGAATAGTTTTGTTTTGTTTTTGTCAGTGTAGCAGAAAATCTGCTCATGTGGACCTTTCTGAGAGAAGAGGAACTCTGCGCCCTGTAACTGAAGTAGAGTCAAACTATGTTTTTCAGACATGTCTCTGAAAATCATACTGGCGTTGTTCTGTGAAACACTGAGGTGAACAATGGAAGAGTTTATGTAAAAAGAAGTACAGGAAATTATAAGAATATTGCAACTTTTTTATTTTATTTCAATTTGTACAATTTTTCAGTTTGGTGTATTTCTCATTAAAAAAAATCATGTCAAGTTTTTAAGCCTTGTTGAACTATTATAGTGTGACGTTACATCATTGTTTGCTTGCATTTCTTGGATCACCTCCACCCATATTACCATTTTATTACTATCATTAGCTTCTTTTAAATAAGAACTCATCTGTTTATTAAGATTTTGACTTGGGCTGTGTTCCCTTTTTAGTAGTTTTCCCTTTGATTTGGCTTCTCTCAAGCCGACTAAACAGCACTCCCAAGTCCGGACCCAGTGCTCTTCCTTCTAAAGCACACTCTCTTCCTTGAAATTTATTCAGGAAGTTAAGAGAATTCCAGCTTCTCTCTTCAGGTGTGACTCCCAACCTAGATAAAATTTTGTCTGCAAGATCAGGCACCACAGGTTGCAGGAGAATCCCATATATCCTAAGGCACTCCAAGGACACGTGTAGGATGGTGTCAAGCCACTGTTGCTCTTCTGGATTATTCCGGTCAAGCTTCCACGGTGCATGTCTTTGGACAAACCCATTAGTCAGGCGAACGCAGGCACCAATGGCCTCCAGAGCTTTATACACATGCATATTCTCAAAGTGCTGCTCTATTATGCCTGGAAGTGCAGAGACAGCCTCTATCATTCTGTAGTCTTCTGAGACTGCTTTTCCACTGAGCCCTACAGCTGGAAAACAGCTGTTGGAGAACCGAGGATAAACCTGTGTGAGGTTGAGCGAGGGTGCAGTGCATCGGTTTAAAAGCCCACCGAGAGCATCTGCCAACTCGCTGTTGCACATCTTCATGACTTTATCGTCATAATAGTCACAATCTGAATCAGGAACTCCTTGTCTTAGTAGGAAGTAGCGTAGACCGTCTACAGTGAACTTCTCAATGGATTCCAGTGGGTTGATCACGTTTCCAATACTCTTGGACATTTTCTTTCCTTCCACCGTCCAGTGAGAGTGCACATATATCTTCTGTGGAAGAGCTAATCCGGCAGCCAATAGGAACGCCGGCCAGTATATTGCATGAAACTTAAGAATATCCTTACCGACAACATGATGGACAACTGACCACCATTTGGAGTGATTCTGTGGGTAGCCAACAACCGTCAAGTAGTTCACCAGAGCATCCAACCACACGTAGATGGTTTGTTCGGGATCTCCAGGGACTGGAATGCCCCACTGGAGACGGCTTTTCTGCCGGGATACTGACAGATCTGGGATGTCGTCATCTTCCAGCCACTGAAGAACCAGGTGTTGGAACTTCACAGGCTGGATGGTGTTTGGGTTTGATCTGAGCCAGTGAAGCAATTGAGTGTGAAAATCTGAAAGACGGAACATGTAGTTGTCCTCATTCATCCACTCCACCTGCCAACGAGGACAGAGGAATTGTTTTATGCTGCTTTGAAGAACTTGAATTAGGAATTTAGATTGGACTTGCATGGTAAAACTTGTAATAGGTTAGTACCCACCTAACACAATTCCAGAATTAGGTGGAACTACTGATTTTATGTTTATTGTAAACACAAGAAAACTTATTAGCCAACTATATCAGAGGTTTTCCGTTTACTGTTAAGCCTCTGTTTACAACTGGTAGTATGAGCCATCAACTGTTTTGTCAAATTTAACCCACCAATAGACGCTCTGTTCAGGAAAGTGTTGAATGTATAGATTGTTTTCCGGATCTGTTTTTCTAATATTGTGAAAAGAATTGTAAAAGAAAAGCTGCAAATTTGTGATTTTGCTCTGTAAATGCTGATTTATACTCGACACTTTTGCTAGTTTGCTTGAGTGCGTGCAGTGAATGTCATCATGGTGTTTGCAGGTGAGCACACAAGATTTGCAACTTGAGGGAACTGCGTGTGGCGCCGCGTTTCATTTGAGTGGAATATGAATCACTTTAAAGAGATTTTGGTAAACCTGTACAGACATCTTTATGATCCGTCCATGTGCAATCATAGGGATAACCAGATAGCCAATAATTCTTGGGTAGAAATTGCAAGTTTTTGTAAAAAAAAAAAAAAAAAAAAAAGTTTAAAAGAAATTAAGGGGGATACGTTTGGTAAAGCCAAAAAGAGAGGCCTTGGCAAAAGTGGAAACAGGTGATTTTAATACACAATTACAGAATCTGCTTTCCACCATTCATGGGTTTTACACTGATGTATATATTGCAATTTTAAATTTAAAACAATTTAATAATTACAAAACTAAAATGAAGTAACAAATTATTTCTTTGATAACTGGAAAAATATTTAAACCTATCGATTTACAGTATACAGAACAGATGCCCTGTTTTTCTAGCCTTTATTGGTGATCATGGCCAGGAATGTTTGACTATTACTGCCTTTTTAGCATATAAGAAGAGGACAGAAACTAGATTTAAAGCTAAATCTAAAAACCATCACTGTTTTTTTTTTATTTTATTACTTTTTTATAGTTTATTTATTTATTTATTTTTACACTTTTCAAGTGTTAAAGCCTTGTCCGTTTCACGAGGTGCGCACAAAGTAGAGGTCGGTGACGTGGTGCTAGGTAAAAGTATAAATCAACCTTAATTCACAGAATTCTGTAGGTTTGTTGAAAGAGAAAGTTGGACTTTTCCCACTTTTAAACCAAAACTCTGAAAACTGGGCTTCTTTGGCTATTTGTATGCATATTGATACCAGGTGAAATGGGCTTATATGTCACAGACCCCAAATATGTCCATCCCAAAATCTGAAAGACTGCTGCTATATAGTTCTAATAATATAGATCTAATAATTTATTAATCTAATAAACTAATTGATATTTAAGCAGTTGCAATCTAATAAATGGATAGTTCACCCAAAATGTCATTTCTGCCATTTACTCACACTTCACTCATGACTCAACACGTATTCGAGTTTCTTTCTTCTGTTTGAACACAAGAAGATATTTTGAATTATGATGGTAGCCGGCATCCACTGACTTAAAGTCATTTTGGTTCAGCAAATCTTTTTGTTCTGCTTCAAAATATCTTCTTGTGTGTTCAACAGAAGAAATAAAAGGTTTAAAACCACATGAAGGACAATAAATGTTCATTTTTGGGTGAACTATCCTTTTAGTCACAATAGTATTGTTTAAAAATGTATATATATTTTAAGTTAAGCTTAAAAGTGTAAAATTAATTATTAAAAAAAATGTATTTTTAAAACTGGGCTTTCAAACTACCCCACCCCTCCCCAGATTTCAGATTAACCCCAGATTCTCTATTCTGTATCAGATAATCATAGGCCTTTATTAAAGACGACGAATGCTACCTTGTGTCCGCTCTCGGTGGACACTTTGATCCGTCTCCCCTCTGAGTCTGTGCTGTCAGTGACTTGAGTTTCTGTAAGGAAACTTTCATCTGGAGTGGAGTACCAGCCTTCATATGTGCCCTTGTAGATGTAGCTTTTGCTTTGGAGAACCGTCCAGAAGTGTTCTACGGCCTGTCTGTGTCTTTTCTCTGTTGTCCGGATGTAGTCGGTGTATGAAATGCCACATCTCTGGAAAACATGCTTAAAACTTTCCGACACCTCCGTGCAGAAGTTCAGAGGATCTTTACCAGCACTGCCAGCAGCCTGTTGGATTTTAAGACCATGTTCATCTGTACCTGAAGAACACATACAGGGGAATTTTAAAAGGTCCGTTCTAGACATTGAAAGTCAGCAAGTTTTTAAGTATATATTTTTGTCCAAGTCATGAAATATTATGCATTTTTGTTTGTTTCCTAATTTTAGTTTACATTTATCATTGTTTATATTTGTATTTTTTCTCCAGATGTTTCGCGCTTTTTGTTAAAGCTGTTTTTAAGATCCATTTTATTTCTTTGATGCTAATTTTAAAAGGGTGGTCCAATATGATATCATATTTTAAACTTTAGTTGATGTTTAATGTAGCTGTGTGTGCATAAACAACATCTCTGCGTGTTATACGATCAAAGTTAAATGCAAAGGGAGACATTGACTTTTATAGAGTGAGCTTAACAAAGCCTACAGCAAACAAAGTTTGGGGACAACAATAAAAAATACATCCAGGTTAATGATGTCATAAACCCTTCAGGGTACAAGCATACACCCTGGACAGTGATGTTGTAATGTTATAGCAGAGATGCTTTCTGGTGACATGGAGCCAATCCGCACACAAATCACAGCACATTATGTTGTTAGCTGACCAATCAGAGCCTCTTGAGGAGGAACTAGGATATATGACAGCCGTTTTCATGTTAGCAAAGTAGCTGTTTATAATCAAAGTAAAATATATAAAAATGAGCATGAGCACACATTGCTTTGCACCCCATAAACACAACCAAGCCTCAAAAATACACTCTGGACCACCCCTTCAGCTAACTTCCAGCCATTTAAAGGAATAGTTAACATACAAGTGAAAATGTACTTGTTTACTCACCCCCAAGTGGTACCTAATCTTTAAGTTTCTTCTGTTGAACACAAAAGATATTTTAAAGAAAGCTAAAACCCTGTAACCATTGAATTCCATTGTACCTGTTTTCCCTAGTATTGAAATAGGGCTGTGTGATTAATTAAAATTGAATCGCGATTTAAAACGTTGTAATTAGCTAAATCGCAAGAGGCTGCGATATGAAACATTTGTTTCATTTAATTTCCCCTGCCCAGAGCAAATGCGTGACTGCTGTCAGTGTGTAATAGTCTTACTAGCCAATTGAGTTAGCACAATTGAGTAAAGAGTGTCTTGCTAAAAAGTATCGCCAGTGACGCTCAATCTAGTAGCAAGTAACAGCAAAATACAATTTCAGTTGTCTCAGCCATGTCAGTTTGCTGAATGTTCTGTATTTTTATAATTATTATTTTGTGTTTGTTTTTATAAGAAGCTACACTATCTTCCGAATTTGAGTTGAACTTGTTTGCAGAAAGTTCAAGTCTTTTTATTTGTGTTTACTGCTTGCTCTAGGGAAAAGAATTGTTTCATTTCTGAATATTTTAAAAAAATACATTTTGATAAATGTTTAAGTTATTATCTTTTTTTAGTTCCTTTTTTCCAAGTAAAGGGTGAGTAAATGACAACATTTTCATTT